TGTTCTTTGCCACTTCTTTCAATGCACTTTGGACTTCCTCTCTGAGTATCATTGGCTCTTGTTCATATGGTATCTCTTGAAATGGTTGAACATAGCAGAGAAACATTGTCAGATACAACTTGCATAGAGCTACCCAAATCCTCTCTCTAAGACGCCTCTTTCATCATGCTGCTCCCTGTGTGACCTAAAGCTTCGTGAGCTCCCTGAGGCCCAATTTCCATTAAAATGCAGGATTTGGACTGGATGATTTCTATGGTCCCTTCGAAGCACAGCCACTTGAGGATTTAAGCCAAGCTCGGACACTCATCCCCTGGCCCAGTGGTTCTGGTCTGAGGGCAATTTTGACCCCCAGAGGATATCTGGCAGTGTCTAGAGACAGTTTGCTTGTTACACTTGGGAGGTGGGGGCAGCAGTGCTCCCAGAATCTACTAGGTAAACATTCTATAATGTACAGGACATACCTCCCACAGCAAACAAGTTTTGTTGTTATTAGCTTCCATCAAGTCACACCAACTCATAGCAACCCATGTGACAGGAGAGAAGTGGCCTCTGGGGATCTCTTGACTGTAATCTTTATAGATGCAGACAGCCAGGCCTTTCTTCCATGAGTTCCAACTACCAGCCTTTCCAATAGCAGCTAATCAAGAACTGTTTGTGCTGCCCAGGCTCCCCAAAAATCATCCAGCCCCAAACATCAATAGTGCCCAGGTTGAGAAGCTCTGCCCTGGCTCCACTGCCAAGCCAAGTCATTAAAGGAAGAACTGGGGTGTTCCTTCCAGGAGTGGACAGGAGTAGTTGAAGACAGTACTGGCTCTGGATGGTTCCTGGTTGGGATGACACAACACAAAGTACTGGAAAGACTCCATGTGAGAGAGCCGGGGCTTGAGCCATTAAAGAGGTTAGTGGCCCAGGAGCAGCCAGGGTGGAAGGAGAGAGAAGGTGGCAGCAGAGACTAAGCCATGGTTGATGAGAAACTGCCCTACACAGGCAGCAGGGCAAGAAGACAGGACACCGACCTCTGAGGCCAGAGCAGGGGACAGGGAGAGGCATAGGTAGGGGTGGAGGAAGAGGGGGCACTGCCCCGTGTGGAGAATGCCAAGCACAGGAAGGAGACAAGGCCTGCTGTGGCATAGCCAAAGCTCCATGCCAGAGAGCTTAGCTGAAGGCATTTGGGAAAATTCCCTTCCAAAACCAGAGGGTTGTCTCAGCTGAGATGACCAAGCTATAGTCAAACCCATGGCAGGAGGAGAATCTGGAGCGAGGCAGGGTGACTCAGGGGACAGGGACAGAGCCAGTGGGACCGCCGACCAGTATGAAGTCACCAGGAGCTCCTGTTATGCCCCTTCTTGGAGGATGGGCAGGCTTGGCAAACTTCTTGGAAAACAAGCCTCCTCAGCCCTTGCTCACCCACCCCTCAACTGAAGGCATTTCCAAGCAGCATCAACTCAGGGATCCAAATACTCAACATCCATGTTTGAGAAGACAAACTCCTGCCCTTGCACTCACTTGTGGCCTTATCTCTAGGAGGGCTGGGTCTGTTTGGCCCCCAGGGCCCAAAACAGATGTGTGCCCCTAGCAATGTCCTACAGAGCCCTAGCTGACCCTTCAGAAGAGAGAAGGTGCAGGTCCCTCAACACACAAGAGAAGAAGAGCCTTTGAGCCAGTGGGCCACCTCAGGACCACCCTCCGCAACCTCAGGTCCCATCCCACAGATGCATGGCAGGTAAACTGAGGCCTGCCCAGCCTGTGAGCATGTAGGAAATAAGCACTCCAGACTTGCCTGTTTATTACGCCTGCTGTAATTAGCCTAATTTCCCCCATGGCAGTTTTCCTCGTCTTCAGTTTCAGCCCTATTGATTTGTGGGTTTAATATATGTTTCTGCCATGTGGCCTTATGTATTTTTCATGGAGGCATCCCATTTCTCGGAGGGTGGGGTGCACAAAGAGCCCTTTCCAAGTATCTACCCTCCTGGCAAACTGCTTAGAGCTCAGAGGGCAGCAGCCCCCAAATCTCCTTGCCTCCCATGGTCTCTCAGTGTCAGGTGGCCCCTTCCAGTGGGTGAGCACACGTGCTGGTCACATTCACACCTTTTTAGCCTTCCATGTAGACTTGTCGCCCACCCTCAACACCAGCATTTTCAGGATTTGGGCTCAGGTTCTCTGCACCTTTCTTTCATTGTAGGGCCCAGACCATGTCTGGAATACTAGATGCTTGTTCAATGAATGAATGAAGGAAGGAAGGAAGGAATGATGGGGATGGGGAGTTTGAGCAGACCAAGGACAGACACAGACACACAAACCCACCTGGGGGAGAACCACCCCGCTCTGTACCCTTGCTTGCCTACTCCAAGCACCCCCTAGCCCCCCAATTGCTCCCACCTTCTCCACTGTGGTCCTTCATTTACCTGGTGTTGACGGCCAGCCCCCATCAGAGGCCATCAGAACACATCACGCTCTCCGGCATTTTAATCCCTGTGGCCTCATGTGCCTTTGCCGACCCCAACAAGACTGGTGGCTCTCCCAGTCCAGCTGTGGGCCCCACCAGTCACCCTCATCCCTCCTTTCTTGCAGCAGATTTCAAGCACTGGCTCACAGTGCTCCCCAGTGCTTTCTTTGAGCCGGGGCCTGGAGTAATATTTAATGGCATTTAATAAATTAGTAGATGTGGAAAATTTAAAAAAGGAAAAAAAAAAAAAAAAAAACCACTTTGACTTTAATTTCACTGCCTGACATGCAGGCTAGAAATGAACCTGCCTGGCCCTGGGAGAAGCCAAACTGCCAAGAACTTCATCTTAGGGAGAAGGGACAATAAATCAGTGCCAGAAATGGGGCCACTGCTTTGTATTTCAGATGCCCCTTGCCTCTGAGGGGCCCCTGCAGCTCATTCATCCTCACAGCCTGTAAAGTGGGGACAGCAGGGATGCGGAGGCAAGGAGAGCTGCTTTCAATTCTGCACAAAGGAAAACAAAAGGACAAAGTCACAGAGGCGTCTTTGCCAAAGTCTCCCCGCAGGCAGGAAGATCACAGCACTGTGGAACCAGGGGACCCTAGGAAGCCACCCAGCAAGAAGCTCTCCTTGGTGGGCACCTTCGTAATCCAAGAAGCCCGTCCTCTTCTCAGGTGCCGGGGATGGATGTTCACCATCATATAAGGAGTTGACTTTCAATTTGACAGCACTTAACAACAACAATTAGTGAAAAAAGGAGTCCTGGGGATGCTATAGGATAAGCCCTGAACTGCTTATCTCAAAGTCAGCAATTCAAACCCACCGGCTGCTTCACGAAAGAAAGATGAGGCTTTTCTTCCCCCCTTAAAGATTTACCACCTTGGAAACTCTACAGAGGGGCACTGTGAGTTGAAATCAACTCAGTGGCTGTGGGAATCACTCAAGAAAGAATCCTGGTGGCATTATGGGTTAGGCATTGGGCTGCTAACCACAA